TATATATATATATATATATATATATATATATATATGTATATATATATATATATATATATATATATATATATATATATATATATATATATATATATATATATATATATATATATATATATATATATATATATATATATATATATATATATATATATATACATATATATATATATATATATATATATATATATATATATATATATATATATATACATATATATATATATATATATATATATATATATATATATATATATATATATATATATATATATATATATATATATATATATATATATATATATATATATATATATATATATATATATATATATATATATATATATATATATATATATATATATATATATATATATATATATATATATATATATATATATATATATATATATATATATATATATATATATATATATATATATATATATATATATATATATATATATATATATATATATATATATATATATATATATATATATATATATATATATTAGTTTACTCAAATGCATAACTGTAAATGATAAATCCAGAGAAACCAAGAATTGCGAAGTCGTCTCAATTTTATCCCCATAGCTGTATATTTATTACTGTATATTTTTTGCCCCTTGTGATTAGAATGGCTCCATCACTGTCTATTTTTAAACCACTACTAAAAAAGTATCTATTTAACTTGGCCTTTTAATATTATTTTAATAGTCTTTTCTACTGCTTCATTTTTAATTGTATTCAGTCGTTTCTCTTGGCTTATTTTTATGTTTTTTTTTTACGTTGTCTTATGTACAGCACTTTGCTTCGTCTTGTGGCTGATTTTAAATGTGCTTTATAAATAAATTAACTTTAATTATTTTAAATGAGATTAAACTCTAAACAGTTTAAAAGATGCTAGTCATTTATTATTGGACATGTTTTTCTAACTTCTATTGTCTGAAAATGATAAATGACAGCATAATCATCTTATCAGGGGCCTCCAGCCTGTTACTCCCATCAGATTGCGGTTTAGGGCCCCGTGCTAGTGTTAAAGACCAGTCTTGTTTATCTTTTAAGAGACTGGTCAACTGTCAAAGATGTGTTTAAAACCCAGTATGGTCAAATGAACTACTGTGGCTTAATCTAATTACTGCCTGTGTGATATAATTGCATATCTTTATGGCTAATTAGACTTTTCTCTTGTGTTCTTATGATATTGCGAGTATAAATGTTTGTTTATTGTTGTTTTAGACTTTAGTCAGTCTTGTCACAGGTGTGGAAGTGTGTGGAGCTGAATGCAGAAGGTTGTAGCAGTGCTTGGTGGGGGGATTGGTGGTCTGTCAGCCTGTCACCACCTCAGCAAGAGCCCTAATGTTTCCAAGGTATGATATATAGTATGTGAATATTTTCCATTAAACATAGTTTGCTAGTCAACACACTGTACACACTACCTTTCCAAAGTTTGGGGTTGATAGAATTAAAAAAAAAAAAAAAAAGTTTTTTTAAAAATGAATTTGATGTAAAATGTTTCAAATGTAACTTGTTCCTTTGTTGGCAAATCTGAATTTTCAGCAACGTTTCTCCAGTTTTCATAGTCACATGATCCTTCAGAAATCATTCTAATATGTTGTTACAACACATATCCCCGGAAGTTTCTAGTATATCTAGAAAGAGCTTGATTAGCTGGTTCAGGCCCTGTACTAGAAACTTACTATATATAATATATTTATATGATATATGTGTGTGTGCATATTTATATATATACATATACATA